ACCAGACCCTCCTACTCGCTGGCGTCTCAAAGGGCAGTCGTGCGAACGCGCTGCCCCAATTGTACGCCAGCGGTAATGTATAGGCAAACGACTTAAGCGCCATCCATTTTAAGGGCTAATTGCTTCGGCAGGTGAGTTGTTACACATTCCTTAGCGGATGATGACTTCATGTCCAGCGTCCTGCTGTATGTAGCAATCAACACCTTTCATGGTATCTATGATGGCGCCGTAACATTACGTTTGGTTCATCCCACAGCACCAGTTCTGCTTACCAAAACTTGGCTCACTAAGCACACAGATATCTTCTACGCCGCTTATGGAGGCAACGACCGCAGGGGGCCGGCCCGGCGTCAACGCTGTAATAACATCATGCAAGAATGTTATGGTACGTACCCATTTATAGTTTGAGAATAGGTTAAGATCATTTCGAACCTAAGGCCTCTAATCATTCGCTTTACCAGATAAGAATAGAGTTCGAAACGTTGCGTGCTCCAGCTATCCTGAGGGAAACTTCGGACGGAACCAGCAACTAGATGGTTCGATTGGTCTTTCGCCCCTATGCCCAATTCTGACAATCGATTTGCACGTCAGAACTGCTTCGGTCCTCCATTAGGGTTTCCCCTGACTTCAACCTGATCAGGCATAGTTCACCATCTTTCGGGTCACATCCTGCACACTCACGGTATGTTGTGGCACGGTAGGGCCCCGGAGGGCCTCACCGCATGCCTGGTACAACACCCGGGGATGGAGGGACGCTTCAGAGAGCCGCGTCCGTAATCCCGCACAACTCAAGTTATGTTTTTTGCGCCTTTGGTGTTCCGGAGGACGATCATTGGCTCGCGCGCAAGATAGACTTCTTATTCCGTGTTTCAAGACGGGTCCCGAAGGTACCTCGATTTTATCATTGCCGATCGACTGTCCGCCGGTCCATTGCGGGAAGACCGAGGCGGTGTACGCGGAAATCCATCACGCGCCCGACTGCAAAACACCACGTGCAGTAAGCCCCACCTCGCGGCACAGGCCTTCAGAACTGAGCGTCGCTACTGTGGGGCAAGCAACCAGCACCAGGGGGCAACTGTCGGGCTACCTTGCGTCCTTGCGGACGCCTAAGCTGTTTCGTAATGGATCGCAATGTCCTCGTGTGACGCGGGAGACAAGTGCTCTGCGGCGAGCCGGCGGAACCGGCGGAACCGCAGGTGAATGTCTCCGCTCGGATAATCGAGTTCAACGGGCTTGAGCCCTAGGCAGTTTCACGTACTTTTTGACTCTCTATTCAGAGTACTTTTCAACTTTTCCTCACGGTACTTGTTCGCTATCGGTCTCGTGGTGATATTTAGCTTTAGAAGGAGTTTACCTCCCACTTTGTGCGGCACTATCAAGCAACACGACTCCATGGAGAAGTCTTCTACCATCAGCGCCGTTCTACGGGCCTATCACCCTCTCTGGGAGTAAAAGCCACATTCTAGTTGAACTTGAACTGGTAACCGCTGGTTACGGCAGATGACACAAACAATTTGATTACAAACATTATATAAACATACATATGTTTCTATGTTTGATTTTTTCTCCGTGTAAAATTACAATTGCCTGCACGTTTTTTCAAAACTACTCAAATTTGGGTATAATCCACCCAGATCGGTCAAAACAGAATCTACCCTAAAATGGGTAAACTATGTTGGGAGTTACAAGTTGACAAATGAACAAAGCCGATCGGGTTCATGTCGGTGTTGTCCATTTGTGAACTTGTCGCTCCCAACATAGTTAACCCATTTTTGGGTAGGTTCAGTTTTGACTGATCTGGGTGGATTCTACCCAAATTTGAGTAGTTTTGAAATAGCGTGTGGAGTAGAGCTCCACAGTTAGGTACACCAAGAAAGCCTGCTAAACCATGAGCAAGCGTTTCAATACAATCAACAATCAATACGAAACTAACGATTTTAAATTGGCTCACTACTTGACTAGCCTATTGGTCCCAAGCAAACGATTAACGTATCCCATTCTAGTCAAAAATTTTAGTACTACACTATGTTTGTTTTGATACGCTATGAAAGTTTAACAGACAAAATGAGGGGTTAGTGGATTTTTCTATGTTTCGAGAGATGCATCGCTTAGCTTGAGACCGAAGAGAGTACCAGAGCTGAGCCAAATAGTTGAGCACGTTTCTTCGGTTTCTTCGAGATCTTCTGGTCTTAGAGTTACCTCTATTCTAATACCATAGAGGTAACTCTAAGACCAGAAGGTCCCGAAGAAACGTGTTCAACTTTTTGGCTCAGGTCTGGTACTATCTTCGGTCCCAAGCTAATCGATGCACCCCTCGAAACATAGGAAAATAATACTGCTAATACCCCGTATAGACTATGGCTTATATCATGTAATATAGGCTCAATCAATCAATCGATTATTATACATAATACAATCGATTCTTATACATAAATATGTATTCATCAAAATACTGCAATAAGAACACTTAAAACAGTCAGAATTAAAGTAAGTAAACAAATATTTTACTGAAAAACACAGCAGATATTTTACTGACTAAAGTGGTATTTTTGACAGTTCACGGATTTTGCGATTTACTAAGTTTTCAGTTAAAGCATCAATCACTGAGTTGATTACTGAAAATTCAGCTGTTTAAAAACCTAGCATAATTTTACCGACTTTGGTAATCTAAACTCTGTGTGTTGCTGTGTCCAGAGCCGAAAGCAAACTGAGCGTCGAAAACTTCTCAACGACCGTAAAAACCAAGATGACTACATACATATAGGTGTTCTAATGTGTCAAATACATATCGACAGTGAGCATGCATAAGGGCGAATACGCGATGATCGATTCTCTTCATCGATTTTCTCTTTGCATTGCTACAGCTAAGCGAAACAATTTTCTAGAATTTGTTCAATGCAGATTAGTAACAGGTTGTATTGGCTATCAAAAGCAACAGCAAACGCACCGAGAAACGTTAAATCTAGCGAGTTATTAACAAAAGAGAAAATCGACGAAGAGAATCGATCATCGCGTATAGGCCCTTATGCATGCTCACTGTCGATATGGTGATTAATCACTGACGGCAATTGAGTGCCTTGGAGGCGACTTTCACACCTGGAACCTATCGTTCCCATCAACACGTGACATGGGCCGGCATCAACGCACTGTTGTCCAAACAGGAACCTTTCCATTTTTAGCCATGAAGTATCGTCAGATGATTTGTTTGTATGCCCCCTCGGATAAGTTGACGTTTAGCGGTTTTTTTTTCAAAACAATCACACCAAAAATCAGTGAGTCCCATTTTTTAATTACTCTACTAATCGATTAGTTTTGGTTTGCTGTGCTTTAATTTTTTCACCAATGAGAGTGCAGAACATGTTTGAAACGGTGTGGGTGATGATGCTCTAGAGAAGTTAATGCCTTCTTGGCATGATATAACCGATTGCAAATATTTTACTTTTCGGATCGGTAATCGATTAATCGATTACTGTGGACCCGATCGATTAATCGATTACTACTGACCGTTTTCAATCTTAAAACTCGGGGTTCAACCGGTTCAACCCATAATTAGCACGCCGTGCAAACTAAAAGTTGTTCAAACGTCATTCAGTATATGGAATGGAGGAAAGCGAAATGGAACATTGCGAAACGGAACGCAGAATTAAAACAAAACTGCAAATAAGGCTACCAGAAACATGCATTTCTGATGCTGATAGGATTACTAGAAGTGTAAATGAAAAATGATCCTCGTTAATATGTATAAAGTGCTGTTCAGATTAGCGGGGGTCCACAGTATTCGAATAAACATCGGACATCACTAAATGAATGTGAAAAGTCATTTTAAATATCAAGAGCAAATTTTCATTACGTCGAATGTAACAAAGGTAAACAAAGTCGAGCTATCAGTGTCAATCGATGCTCCTGCTATTACACTATATACTGTCCGAATATAGGATCACATCCCATTTTTAAATTTATTTACCAGTCGAATTTCTTTTTGACGTAATCACCTTCCGATCAAAATAGTTTTCGATGTTACTTAAGTCACCCGATTTCTATGGAGATGCCGTTTGTCTTAAGTAACAGCACTGAGAAACCCGTGAAAAGTGTACTTTCGTCGTTTCGCTTTCTCATTATTAAAGTGAATAAATCGAACTGTTTGTTGCTAAGATGATTTCGGTGGTCCTAAAATGATGAATGGGCTGCACGTAAGGAGACGTAATTGATAATTCTCCCGAATATCCTGGTAAATACACTTTGACTTAGTAACAATAGGGGCCACCAAACGACGTATAATAACTTTTGACTCAAAAACCAGTACTTCTTAGAATGAAAGCTAGCGATTTGCATTTGTATGATTAAAACCCGGCTAAATATGTTAAACATTGCTATCACTATGAGATTATATGTGTTTAATTGGAAATAGGAATAACTTTTCGGTCATCAAAACACAACCTTATTTTTCTCGGATCGGTGCGAATGTTACTTACGACATAATGAAAATTTGCTCATGATATAAGGGTCGTTCCTAAATAATGAGACAATTTGAAATGGACTGGGGCTATTCGCAAATTACGTCCCCAAGGTAACTGAAAAAAAAAACACAATGCTGAACGGTTGGTGCAACGGTTTTACTTTCCTTCCGAAGGAAGACGTGACCAAAGGTTTTATTTTGTCTCAGGAAAATCCCAACAACCCCGGCTGGGATTGAACCTTTAAAAGATAATTGTTTACATTAAAACAGGTACCTTAATTTTTATTAAGTAGGAATATTTTGCAATTTATTTAAAACAAGTTTGTTCAGTTTATGCAAATCTTAGTTCTTAATGCATTTATTTAACTCTCATTTCTCCTATGTCAACGGATCTAATTTCAATCATTTTGTTGGAGGGTGATTTTCCAGGGAAAATAAAATCCCGACTTAGTTTCCAGTTATCCTGGTTTTCATACAAATATTTCATTACCAAAAATTAAAATGTGGACTTCAAATAATCGTCTTTACTGCTTATTTTACTTACAAGAAGTTGTATCGATGGTCTTTACGTTTCAGAACTCAGTAATCCTCCTATCCGAAATCCTTCAGGTACACACTCCTCCGCTGCAGAAAAGGCTTAGTTTCGACGTTGGTATTTGCTCCAGTAAATGACTTCCGCTTCCTACTTTTGGGACACTTTTTAATTGAATGTCACTTTTTGTACCATCTCACCATCCACATGGAACGAAACCCAGAATGTACGGCGTCTCATTCACCCTTCCCTCATCTCAAGCTTATGCACCAGCATATCATCACAATTATATTTGCTTCCACCCCACAGATTTCACACTCGATGCACGTTCGTACACTTAATTTCAATCCAACCCGTTTGTATCGACCAGACGACCGAAACGGCGATGGTGACGGACGGTTCACAGATCAATTTTTATTTCAAACAAATTTGCACTTAATCCTCAGTGGCGACGACGGCTGACCCTTGTGTCTGACTTTTAGGCCTCGGCGGTGCTTATCACACCCGGAACGAGCGAGGGAGGCAAAAGCACTGTTTTTCTGTGACTACCAACACGACCACTCGTAGGTACCTATAAGTTCTTTGATGTGCACCAATTTGCAAACGACGACCGGGATTCTCGAGAGGCCTTCTGCTGGAGGAGCTCAATCTATGTATGCCTGCTGCTGCTGCTGCTGCTGTGTCAGCGTAAAAGCATCCAGCCGAGAACAGACCTCGCGGGATGCTCGGAAAAGTGATTTTATATGACGACGGGATGGGATGATGCTGTTGTTCGGTTGAAAACAGTGCTCCTTTCGGGTTTCCGTTCGTATCAAGTGGGTGAGAGATTGAGAGCGAGAGATTTTCTCTCTACTTTGCTTTGGATTTCCACACGGTCGATGAAATCAACTCAACTTTGAGTGGGTTTTCAAAATTACAATAACGTAGGATACTTCCAGACCGAGTTAAATTGTCGAATATGAGGAAAATTGATGAAAATTTTACTCTGTTTAGAAGTATACTAATAGACTGAGTGAATCCTCTGTCGATTTTCGTAATATTCGAAAAGTTTTTCCTGAAAAATAGAGGAACATTATACCATAGAGGTAACTCAAAGACCAGAAGGTCCCGAAGAAACGTGCTCAACTTTTTGGCTCAGCTCTGGTACGCTCTTCGGTCCCAAGCTAATCGATTCACCCTTCGAAGCATAGGAAAATCCACGAACCCCTCATTTTATCTATCAAACTTTCATAGCGAATCAAAACAAACATAGTGTAGTACTGGAATTTCAACTAGAATGGGGTACGATAGTCCATTTGCTTAGGACCAATAGGCCAGTCAAGTAGTGAGCCAATTTAAAATCGTTAGTTTCGTATTGATTGTTGATTATACTTAGTCTATGAGTACCTACGATTTTGCGAGTTTGAGTGAACGAAACTCAAATTTGAGTTGGTTTAATCGGCCGTGAGTTTATACAATTTGTTAACATGCCGAACACAATGCCTCTACAGACGGTATAGTAAACTCAGACCGGCGGATAGAAATTCCGTAAAAATGGCAGCACGGTTATTTTTACATTATTTTTCATATTGTCTAGCAACACTTGCAAATGCTTACACATAGAATGACTCGCATTCAGTGCAGCAAGTTGTTACACATACAATCTTTAATTTTTGTTTGAATTTGAAGTGTTTATATAAAGCAAACCCCACACGGTAAGAAATATTGTCAATACTTACAAGTATTGACAATAATATTGATGATGTGAATACAGAAATATTGTCAATACCGATGTATTGACGTCAATATAAAATGTATTGACAATACGATTATTGTCAATAAAAGCAATCGTGTACGGTCCACATAAAGCAAACCCCACACGTATCAATATATTGACGCGAAGGGGAATTATTGACATTAATATTGATGATGTGAATACAGAAATATTGTCAATACCGATGTATTGACGTCAATATTGAATGTATTGACAATACGATTATTGTCAATAAAAGCAATCGTGTACGGTCCACATAAAGGTTGCAGGAATAATTCCCACAATGGCATAAACAATATTGGTTTTTTTCCGATTCCCCGCGAAGAATGCCATTCTGAAACAATGGAAACTGTTTTGCGGACTACCGGAAGATTTTCGAATAGTCGAAAGTTACCGACTGTGTAGCGTAAGTAAACTTATTTTTCACAAGTGAACACTTAACAACAAAGCTTTTCAAACCGATTTTAGTTGCACTTCGGCGAGGAGCATGTGTATTTGGACAGTGGAGGAAAAATCAGAAAAGTTTCCGGGGCGATTCCCTGCTACTGAGATGTCCCGTTGATGATATTGAGAACATAAATCCAAGCACACACGACGAAGCCGGTGCAGTATCAAGGCATTAAATATCTTGACGAAGTTTTCCTACATCTGGATAAAAATGACGACAAAAATAGTGTCAATTCCGTTTATTATTCTCAATCCGTTAATGATACAAGTCTGCAATCAAATCTTCCGGAGAATCTTGAATGTAACCAATGCGTCTGGAACAAAACCCAGAGTCAACAGTGTCAATAGTAAAGTTCTGTGAGATTATTTTGTGTGTTAGATCAATGTACAACTTTTGCGTACTTCACGTCTAACTGGACAAATGATCGCATTTTAACTTATTAAAAAGTGTGATAAAAGTGCTCGTTTACGTCTCATCTTATTGGTGTCTTCGGTGCGCTTATTTCTTGCATTATAAAGAATAAGTGCACCCAAGACACCAAGAAGATTAAACGTAAACGTACACTTTTATAATTTTTTGCATTTTTGAAAAAAACTCAGTTTCAGTGGCAATCTGCAATAAGTAATTAACAGGGTTTTTTGAGGAAACTCATAACCACACTTTTAAGCGTATTTTAAAACAATGTTCTTCTCTTTTAGATGCATTTGCAGGAGACTTGTGTCGTACAAAAATGCGAACATTGATGTTCTGATATTGTTAAATGATGGGCCTTATTACGGGTGTCACTACACAGTGATAAGAAAGTGATATTCGGAATAAGAGCCGTGATTGCCGTATAAATCAAATGGAAATCACTTCACCGTGACGACAAGTGAAAAGTTTTCACCGTGAAGTGACATCCGTAATAAGCCCCGATAACTTGGAACAAAAGTTATTTTGTTTGGTGAACAGTGTGCCTGAATCACATATGAGCAACTGTCACAATATTAAAAACAAAATAACAAAAAAATACATTGAGTTTCGGCTTCGTCAATCACGAATTTCGAAAGAATACGACATTATGAAAAACTTATAAACATTTTTTATCATTAAAACATAATAACGGAAAACCATGTTCAGGATTACAATATTGTGAATTCAGCCCAACATTGGATTCTACCGGTTATTTTTTGCCAGTTTTTATTACGTGGGGGTGATTCATTCACGACCAGAGTTGCTCATGAATCACCCCTTTCAATTGAAACCAAAACAAAAACATCGAATCAAAACAAAAACAAAAAATTGTAACAACCTAGCATTAACGAACTCAAATCTCGAACCTACAAAAGATTGCTGCTGATTGCACGTAAGTTAAATGATTTTTTGCTTTAAGATGTTAGCACAAAGATTGTAAAAACTCTCAATATTTTACTTTTCAGCATGGAAACCTCTGACATGGAAGGTGAAAGTAGTGAACCATCAGGTTCGAAGAAGAGAAAGGTGGATTCTGACCAAGATCCGGGCCCATTCGCGGAGATTGAATTTCTTGACCTGAGTAATCTGTCTGTTACCGGTTTTGAAGATAGCTGTGAAGATGATATTGAGGACCAGCAAGCCACAATCGAGTCAAACAAAAGTGGTTCCTCATCAACTCACCCAAAGGAAAACGATGGATCTCTGCTGAATATGACTGTCAATGTTCCTGTTGGTCAGTTCAAGAACAAGAAATTTCATTTCATCGGTGTGTTTTACGTTCGGTTGTTCAGATCACAGCATTTGGCGGATCCGGTTACTTCAAAGGACATGTACGGGAATTCTGTGTCAAGTTTGTTGACGTGCATCTGGGAAGCAGCCAGGGGATATGTTGCTCGGGAGATAGTGGTCAAGCATAGTGACAATGAACAACAAATCAGATGGTCTGCTAAGAATAATCCAGATGAGATTGATTTGGACAGATTTGTGATGTTGAAGCACGAAAAAATAAGAAATTTTATACTATGGAGGACATTCGGCACAACAACAAGCTACTAACTCATTGGAGAGGTAAACATATTCAGGTCCATGTGTTCAAATACTCCTCCTCCATTGCAACGCTAGCCATGTGGGAGAAGGCCAGCATACTACTACTGCACCCAGAACGCAAGGATAAAGCTGGAGCTCCAGCAACGGAGGAAGTTTTTGGCTGTGTCCATGAATTGAAAGAGACTCACTCACATTACTCCGCACTATTTTCATCTTAGGAACGGTGGGCAAATTTTGTTCTTGCTCAACCAGCAGACCAACGTACAAGGTTGATGAGAGAAGCGCCGCCGGATGAGTATCTCCACTTGTTTCGTGCTGCTCCAATTTCTGAAGCAAATCAACTTAAAGTTACGCGTCAAGGATTACAAGTGGCTTACAATATTGCAGACGGAATTTTGGCAACAGTAAGTGGCTTGTGTACAAAAGCGGATTCAATGGCAGAGAGTATGAATCAAATCCAAAGAGAACTACACTGCCTCAAGACACAGGTGAGTTCTTCCCGCTCATTGTTGGATGCAATGCAAGATTCCTTACCACCGGAGGAAACTGAATTCAGCAAGAAGCTGGCGTCTCTTGTTACGGACATGCCTGACATCGACCATGCTGACTAAACAAGCAAACTGAATTTGTGATTATGATTTGTATTCCTTCAATAAAGAATAGATTGATTGGTTTTGTTTTTTTTTTCAATTTTGAATTGTGTTTATTGTGATTTATGTTCCTAATTTGATTCAAACTGATTTATTTAATAACTATTGACTTAGTTGAGGAAGTCGAACTGAAGGGTCGAATATCCCTCCCGACGAGAACCCACACTTTTGAAAAAGACCTGTGCATTTGTAGGACATGAATTTCTAAGAGAAGAGGTGACAATACGGGGGCGAAAATGAACCACTTTTCTGTCGAACGTGAACCAGCTCCTGATTGGCCGATTTCATGTGCGTAAGATAGAGATAGAGATAGAGATAGAAATAAAAGAGGAAGAAGCCAATTGTCACCTCTTCCTCTTAGATGAATTTAGTTAGGGCGGCACCAACAGTTACAGAAAGTGGAGTTGTATCATGTTCCCTATAACTACGTTTCAAGAAACGCTTCACCAATCCGAACACAACCTCGGTCGGATTATAGAAGGGGCAGTAAGCTGGCAAGAATATTGGAATAATACCAATTGATCTTAAATACATCACAATATTCTTGTCGCAATGTATACGTGCCCCATTCATTATCCAGACCGAGTGTTTTCCAGGATATTTATGAACATTTCCACTATGGAGAGCCATTTTAGAACAACTATCGAAAAATTTCTTTCTATTGAAAGTACCTTGCGTTTCAAAAGATTCAATTACTCCCGATTGACCTAAAAA